AAAAAAAAAAGTCACTATTTTGACACAGTTCAGCAATTAAATTAAGTGTTCTTCCACCCAGAGTGACCAGGGCAGAGCTGTGTAACAATCCTTCCAGATGCATGAAGGTATCTAAAGAAATTAGGCCTCTTCTCACTCTCCTTGGTGCCAGCTGGAGAATACATTTATTTTTCTACAGCAAGAGGGTCAGGAGAAGATGATTCCAGCCCAAACACAACAGGCTGGACCTGTAACCTGAGCCAAGTCAGTAATATTAACCATTTGTGGACTAAGAGCAGTAATCATGTACATCCATGGCTCTCCACCCTTGTAAGCTAAGAAGTTTCATGCACTCTCACAGATGCAAAACTGAAGGAAAGAATTTGTATCAGTTGGTGACCAGATAGGGAAAAGCTTTACCATTTTAACTTGTACCTGATAACAAAGGGGTTTTAGGAGCTATTGTGTTTGTCTGCTTGGTTTCAAAGGATACAAATGCCCCTGGAATGCCTATTTCAGGCTCCTCTTCCTCCCTTCTCTCCCCTTCCCCAAAATCTTGATGACTCATTTACACATGAGGCTTCCAAAACCACTACTGGATTTCACAGCACAAGTTTCCTACCCTCTCCAGGTTTGGGGTCCCATCCCAGTCTCTCCCCTATGGGTGAAAAGACATCTTTCACGAACACCTGGATCTCCTCATAGAAGTCTGTGTGGGACAAGAGAGTTGAGAGAATTCCCAGGTTACAGCTGAGGTCGCTCCACACAGTATAATTGGGCTCATTCACAAAAGCTTCCATGACTTTTAGAACCTCTACAGTGCTAATGATTCCAGCTCGGGCCTGGGAGAGGAAAAGACACCACATTAATCTTACTTCCAAAGCAGAATGAAGACATTGAACAGCTCATCACATTATTTGACAGTCCTCCCAGCCTGCCCAGCAGCTCTTTTCTCTGTGCTGGGCTCCTGCCAAGGTGAGTTCACACCAGCACACAAGGCTGCTTCTCCACAGGTGAGCCCTTTACAAAGAGGCAGCTACAGAACTATAAGCACACTTTGCAAAGCAAGAAACAAGACAAGGAGATTCAGTGACTTCACAAAATTGCAACAGTGCTGGCAAGGAAAAATAAAACCCCAAACAAATCCCCCTTCCCCCCTCTCCTATGACACCCACCAAAGTTTTACTTTAACTAAAAAACTTTAAGTATTTTTTGCTCCTTGTTACATGGAGAGGGTAAAACTGCAGGAGGCATTTTTTGCTTCCTGCTTCCCATGAATTAGCAGAACAAGGAGCACTGCCTTGCCACCTCTGCCAGGAAAGTGGTGTATTAATTGCTCCAGAGGGTCATGAAAACAGTTCCATGCTTACTGCAGTCCATAGTACCTACAGGAGGTATCTCCAACCAGATTGCTCAGATTTTTGATAATCTGGAACCAGACCAGTAATTTATGGTACTGGAAAAGAGGTGAAGATCAATTTTTATTATCTAAGCTATATTCACCTATGATAAAAACATGATTAAAACTGAAACCCAACTAGGAGTCTAACACAATGTTCCTATGTGGATTATTTGCTCATTTTTTTGGTCACAATAGTCTGGAAATCCTTGGGAAATGACTCAGTTACAGCTTCAAACCCCTTCAATTAAGTAATGACAAAAGTTATGAGCTTTGGGGCTAAAGAGGCAGGATGTCAAACCCAGCTATTTAAAAGTTTCCACATTCTTGCTGACCAGCAAGAATCAGAAAGTACAACCCAAAAATACAGTGGCTATTGTTCAGAGGTAGCTACACCTGTTTGGGGGTAATTCCTTGTTTTTAAACACTAGGACTCCCCAACAGCCACCTCCTCAAGTGGGGGACAGTTTTAACAAGCCCAGCTGGATGAAGCACAGGGTGCTGGATGGACAGTGTTTGATAAAATCATTGAGGGGATCATTAAAATCCCCTTCTTTTGATGAGTTGAAGAGGTTCTCAAAACATTGAATGATGTGAGACAACCTAGAGCAGAATGCACTCCTGTTGAACAGTGCAACAGGAGTCACAGACAGTGCTTCCACAGGGTTGGAGTCTTGGAATACAAGTTAGAACTTGTCCAGCTAGTTAAGAGCTAAATTTATGCAGTAATCCCCAAGGCACTTTGCCTCCAGGAACTGAGAGTGACTCTTCAGACACCAATTCCTGCAGGGACTGTGGCTCTGACTATTAGGACAGAACAGCAAATGCTTGCTTACCAGAGAGAAAAGATCATTCTGCAGGCCAAGCCTGTCCACGGGGGGTAGGGAGAGGTCTTTGATGGCTGGTATTAAACTCTCCAGCATGTCAGGGCTGTACTGAGTACGGTAAAACCCGACTGTTCCCAGGTTTAACTGCCAAGAGAGTCACAAATTAGAGGCAAGGAACAAACACAGAAATGCTTTTTTTTCCTTTGAACCACTAGAAATGTCTCCAAGCATGGCAGCTCAGAGCAGTCAGGCACTGTCATTTAAATAAAGTGACAGAACAAGGCAGAAGTGAGGGAGAAAGGCTGAACATTTCAAAGAAATGCTCACTCAGAGGTGCAGAAGAGAGAAACGAGGAGCAAGGAGAAATGAGAAACTTCTCTCCTAGGGTTAACTCCTAACTGTGGTCATGCACTGAGAAGATAAACCACAGGGACTGCAGATGCTAGAACCTTAACTCTCCCCTACAAGCTGCTCCATTAACAGATGCTAGAACTTTAAAACTTTAACTCTCCTGCAACTTGCTCTGTTCCATCTTGATAGAACCCTTTTCCTGAGAAGGCAGAGCAAGCACCTCTGCCCAGCACAAAAACAAGTCATGGGCAGTAAGTCTGATGAGCTGCCCAGGCTACAGGCTGCTACCTGCTTGCATTTTAGTATGGATGGTCAAATATTGTGGTTGGTATAAACCATAAACACTGCTGAGCTGATCAGGAAGTCACTCCTCTGCTGCTGCTGCAACCACTCAGCCCAACCTCCAGTCCTGACCACTGACTATAAACCTCACAGACTGATCTTTGCAGTCCTACAATTCACCTTGGACTGAGCTGGGTTGTTGCTTTCTCAGGAAGAAATACCAAACTTTACCCTCCTTTAGACAGGGCATTTTCACAATTGTTCACTTTATACCCCCCTGTTGGCAGGGAGGGCACAGAGAGGGTGGCTCAAGAGAAATGACAGGCCTGGCAGCAGGGATGCCCATGCTCATTAAATGGGAATATTTGATTCATATTCAGAGACCCTTAGTGTTAAATCAGAGTGAAAAGCAGAATCAGAACAGAGCTCCAGCTTAGAGACAAGTGCTGTTCAACCCCAGCCAGCTGCTCAGTTTTTAAGTGCAGTGACTGCAGGAGACTCCAACAGTGAATTTTTTCACTTGCAGATCTTGTCTGGCAATAGCCAGCAGAAAACCTTCCCACTAATGAAAGATAAACAGGACAATTTTTGCTCAGGATAGGCTTGAACTAAGCTGTGTGTCCCTGTGTTAAACTGTGACACTGTGGTTGCCATGGGATACCAAAAAAGCCACCACATTTCAACTCAAAAGCTGCCCTAATTGCACACTGGTTTTCCAGGCTCAGATTCCTAAAAAGGTTCAAGTTTGGATTGTCTTGACTGCTCTTGGGAGGGAAGGGGCTGAGCAAGCACTGCAGAGAGGAGCCAACATTCAACAGCAGCACAAGAGGCCTCTTCCTACAAGACACACAAAACTGCAAGGGGGAAAAAGAGAGAAAAGTGAAATGCAAGGGAACATTACAGGGACAAACTTACTCACAGGGATGTGTTCTCCTTTGTGAGCACTCACCTTCACCCACTGCTCTGGTTTGACATCTTTCAAGACCAAGGTAAGCTCCGGTTTGTCCATCAATATTTGCATTTTGGCACGGGTGGGGTCATCACTTGTACAAATACTGATGGGGACCATCCACATGGGGAAATCCTCCCCTGCAAGAAACAACCATAAAAAGGCCTGAGGAAAAAAGAAGTATGCACACAGCTCTGAGGAACTCTGCCTAATGTTCAAACAAGTTCAGCAGCATTTTGAACAAGGGTACTGAAACTTAAAGCTAAAGAGGCACAAATCTGAAGGAAAATGGCAGTTCTAGAGTTAATACTCAAGAATCTCTGTTTAACTGAGCTTTCAAGCCAAACATCTAAATTCCTATGGAAGATGGGTGGAATCTGTGTCCACAGACAGAGCTGGCTTCCATATGTGGTGTTTTTATTTCAGCACTACTACAAAACCAGCAGCTTAGAGAGCTCCTCAGATGGCAGCACTGGCCTTAAACTGGACATCAGAAGAGAAGCACCTCAGAGTGAAAACTGAGCCAAGGGCTGCAGGTGAATGCAGTTTTCCATGCAAGGAGGACATGGAAACCACACGTGTGAGTGTGTTAATCCTCAGGCTTTCTAGAGTTTTAACAAATCCCTCAAGACCTGAAGCCAAGCACCTGCCTGTTCTGCACTGCAGCTCTTTCACCTCTCACCACTGCTGCTATTGCATCAACAACAACCCCTCCCTTCCTGCTCTGAGCACTTAGCTTACCAGTATATGGTCCACTGGCACAGAATTTCTTCTGGACTAACTTCAACACTTTGTCATCATCTTGCTGAGGGGAAAAAAAGAGGAAAAAGAGCGAAAGGAATGATCAGAATATTCACCTGCTGCTCCTGTGTATCAA